TTGCTAGATATTTCTCTAGTACTTGTGATATACAAGGTACTCTGTTATAAAGGTAGAAAGTTTGCATATCTAACAATAAAAGGTAGCATGTGACAAGTGCCCTCAGTATGTTAACGTGCAGTATTCTGGAGTGTGAAGAAAAAAGAAGGCATTTTTAGCTGAGGTGACAAGAGAAGACTTGTTTCATGGCAGAAGTGATATTTGAACTGAGTCTGGAAGACAAGTGAAAGGAGCAAAGAAAGAGCATTATAGATAGCTCAGATACAGACCCCATGGATAGACATAGCATTGTGAGCAATTCATATCGTACAAAAGGTTGTAAGTAGTTCAGTGGAAGGCCAAAGGTAATCAGGCTAATGAGTCTATGTTTAAGGAAAAATCCACTATCAGATTTTGAGAGGATTAGAGTTACATTTTATTCATTCATTCAACAAATATCTTTTGAACCCCTATTATATATCACACATTTTTTTAAGCTATATGAATACAGCAATACATTAGAAAAATGCGGAAAGAAGAGTCTCTGCCCATATTCTGGTAGACAGAAACAGATAAGAAACAAAAGAAATAAGTAAATGAGCAATACATTAGAAAAATGCAGAAAGAAGAGTCTCCGCCCATATTCTGGTAGACAGAAACAGATAAGAAACAAAAGAAATAAGTAAATGATATATTTGAAGATTTAATTTACAGGTAAGCAATTATAAATTTAAAAACTGAAGCAATTATAAATAGGTTGGTTAGGGTGACATCTGATGTTACATTTGAACAAGAGTTTGAGGTAGGTAAGGAACAAGCCATGTAGGTATCTAGAAGAATAGAACTCCAGCAGAGGGAATGCCAGTGCAAAGGCTTTGAGGACCAGGTTCACACAAAGCAGCCTGTGTGAGTTGGGGAAGCACAGAAGGAGATGATGTAGAGAAGTAAATGTTACATCATGTAAAGTCTTGTAGACAATTTTAAGGACTCTGGATTTAAGAAAGTTAATTTACTAGAAATGTGCAGAATAATTGCAGAAGGAAAAGTATTAGAAGTGGAGGCAACAGTGTTTTTAAAAAATTATTTTTCAAGTGAAAAAGTCCTGAAATAATTCACTCATTTGATCCTTCATTTATTCACATTAATTCAGCACATATTTAGGAGACACTATGATTGATATTGACATCGGAACTGACTCAGGTAGACAAATCTTGCCCATGTGAAGCTGACTACCTGGTGGAATGATGATAGCATGAATAGAAATGTCCCATATGTCAATAAGCTTCTAAAAATCTATAAAAATTTAAATTGTATTATGAATTCAAAAAATATCTAATATTGTAGAGAAGATTCCCAAAAGATCCAATTACATAAACAATCCTCCGTCTACTTTCTAAGTCATTTCCTTACCAATAGGCTTCAATGAAAAATTGACCAATATTCTTTCTACCCTTAAGATTTCTTTTGAAAAGAATGATTGGATATTCTTAACGTCAAAAAGAAATCATTCAAAACATCCAAGCAGTGAAAAGTAAACTAAATATCTGGGGCTTATCATTCTGCCAATCATGATGAGTCACAGAACACAGAATACAAGCATAATTAATTCAAATACAACCATTTATGAATAGATTAATTTAGCAAGCATAAAACAGGCAAAAACCAGTTCAAAATTATCAAGTTTGTCTGTAACCCAGACAATAGCATTTTCCAAACAAATTGCTGATGCATGAAGATATTATCACTTGTGGCTGGATGACTAGCTTTAGTACCCCTATAATGATAAACCCGCTGTCTCAGAGGACAGATAGGAACTAGTCTCTGCTGTCAAACTGTCATGGAATTATTAAATATAGAGAGGAAAAATGACCCAAACAGTATGTAATGAGCTCCCTTTTCATTCTCACTACAAAAGCACATCTGTGGATTGTTAATGACTCTGAAATGGATAAACCAAATTGATGTGAAAGAAAAACAACTCTCAGGGATAGGGAAAGGGAAAATCAACACACACAATGTTTATAAAACATAATTTTAAATATAAGGGCTTGTGAAAGTACTGTGAAATACTATAAAGTGGCATAAAAATGTAAGCTATTAGTATTCATTTTCATATTGCTTTCCTTGCTTTCCTTTATGCTTTTAATATAAATCATTAACCTTTTAAATATATAGGAAGAAACAAGACCTAGTCACAAATATTCCATGTTTATGACTTTTATGAGGTGGCACTGCAATGCCTGTCTGGTAATTTCTATTCTATTGGATGAGTTTTTACTAAACATGCCCTGTGGGCTGCATGCAGTGACTTGAGTATGTGTTGGCTCTCAGGATCTCAGCTCTCATGGATTCTGTAGCTAGTCCTGCCAACTGACTCGTCATTTCTAGCTTCACTGTCCCAAAAGATCCCCTTGCCCCAGGATGCCCATGAAAGCTACACTTCAGTTCAACGTGATGACTCAACCATTGGAATCCTTCAAGCACAGGTATTGACTTATTGATCTTTGTTCCTCAGTGCCTGGTATTGTGCAAGTCTTCAATAACCTTAAAATAAGATGAATGGCATTCAAAGGAAACAGAATAACTTATTCAGAGGGATGTCAAACAGATACAAGCACATTTAAAAAATTATCACAGTATGAACCCATACACTAGAGTCACCATTTTATTTGGGAGTATTTAATGATTCTGAGTATATTGTTCTTTAGAAAGTTCAGATTTGGAGAAATTTGATTTGTGTTTTAATACACAAAAAAGAAAACAGTGAATCAATAGGAGACTTGGAATACTGCTTGGTTTAAGGACAAATACAAGTCTGAAAACAGTCAATAATCTTGCCATTATTATAGCAGTCGACAACCTGGCTTCTTCTCAGGGCGGTATAAGTTAGGTAAATTATGAATGTAGCAAGGTATTAGAAAGGAAAAGAATCAACATTTTAAAAAATAGCACTATATAATTCTGGAGAGGGAAATCACCGTTAATACACAGATCATGACCTCTGAGTTACAAACAGAACTGCTCTAAACACCATTCTACACAAAGGGTTTGTTTGACACAAATACATATTCCAAGTAGTAGTGAAGAGCTTTTTGGCACATGATTTGACTATTTCACACTAGGTAAAGACACTAACAAGAAAAATAAATGAAAAGTCATTAGAGAAAAAATTAAACAGCATATATAGTTGATATACAATCATGCTTTGCTTACCAACAGGAGTATGGTCTGAGAAATGACTCCTTAGGTGATTTCATCGTTATGCAATCATAGGGTACACTTACACAAACCTAGATGGTATAGCCTACTACACACCTAGACTATATGATACAGCCTATGGCTCCCAGGCTACAAACCTGTACAACATGTTACATACTGAATACTGCAAATAATTGTAACACAATGGTAAGTATGTAAACATAGCTAAACATAGAAAAGGCTCAGTAAAAATATAGTACAGGTTGAATCCCTAATCCAAGTTTTGAAATTCAAAATGCTCCAAAATCTAAAACTTTGTGTGCCAACATGATGTCACAAGTGGAAAATTCCACACCTTATCTCATGTGACAGGCCACAGCCAAAACACAATAAAAACTTTGTTTCATGCACAAAATTATTTAAAATATTGCATAATATTATGCTCATGTTACGTGTATAAGGTATATATAAAACATAAATGAATTTTGTGCTTAGACTTGGGCCCCATCTCCAAATTACGTCATTTTGTACATGCAAATATTTCAAAATCTGAAAAAAAGATCTAAAATCCAAATCATGTCTGGTCTCAAGCATTTTGGGTAAGGGATACTCAATCTGTATTATAATCTTATAGGACCACTGTCATATATGTGTTCCATCACTTACCAAAGCATCACTATGCAGTACATGAAAGTACTTTCACTGAAACCATTATGAACAATATAGGATGCAATATTATGTTGATAAAGAAAAATACTGTTTTAATATATTAGTATTTACTACAAGTCCTCAAATTTAAACATACCTTTACAGTAATCTTTAAAATATAACATGCTATTCTCCATTCACACACATCCACAGGAAATTCACTGTTAGACAACCTGTCTATATATAACCCATAGTATCCTATAGGTTGTATTATAAATTTCCATTCATGTTTTCTCCAGTGCTAAAATAAAAACCAAAACCAGCTTCACTTTTACATAAAATGTATTCACAGATCTCAGCAGTATCATAAGAAGTGGATGAATGCGATAATCGACAAATTGGCATCTCAGTTTCCAGGTCAATGCACACCTGAATGATGCAATGAAACCTTCTACCTCCATCCTCAGGTCCTGAAGATTATGGGATAAAAAAGCTATGACATTGACCAGCTTCTCTCTAAGTATTTTATCCCATACCACGCCACCCAGTTGGTTGAATGACTAAGCAACAAGGTCAATAAAATGCAATACTTCTCTCTATTAAAATATAATGGAAATTTTGACCATTCCACATTCAAAGAGCAAATACATTCTCACACTGACAACCAGATTTCGTTGGCTTTTCCTGAAAGCAAAGTGTGACAGATGCCTTAGCTGTAATTGCCAATCAGCCTTTACATGGCAGCTGAAAACACAATACATCACTTTGATCTCCTTTGCTCTAAACACATCCACAATCAAGAAACCTGAACAAGGAATAAGAAATTGGCATCATTTCCAGGAGCTGTCACTCTGTAGCACTTAAATGCTATAATGTATATTTTGCTCATATTTTTATTTCCCTTTCAGAGACACTCTGTCAAAGATTTGAATAGTTAAACATCATATGTGCATATATACATATATATATTATATACACTATGTATATAATATATATAATTTGCATATATTTGGAGACATATTTGGAAAGCATGTTTTTATTACCATGTACAAAATCTGAACTCAAGCACATTTAATTAAGTACCACCACTGCCATTTCCTTTTCCATTTATACACTGGATTAAAACAAGGCGTCTCATCTGATTTTGAAACAGTATTCAAAACAGTTGTACTCACATTTTGCAGGCAGGTCATAGCCACATGTGATTTTTGCATGTCCAGTATCACAGCCATTCAGGTTACGACATTCAGCTAGCAAACAGGGGCCAGCTGCTCTATGAATACAGCCATCCACTAAGGGAGAAAGAAGAAAGTTAGCTTATATTTGGCATTTGTAAATAAATGTAAAGCTCAAGATGGGAAGAGGAAAATAACTCAATTTGTTCTTCCTGTAAATAACCATAGCCCATGGAAGAAAACCCAGGGTGTTCAATGTTTCAAACACTAGCTTATCTGTGTGTGTGTGTGTGTTTATGTAGTGAACAGAAGTAGAAGGGTTATAGAAGTTGTGTGCTAAACAACAGGTTCTCTGGGGTGGGAGAATCCTTGATACGGAGCATATTCCCATTTCAATGGTATAATTCCTTTCCCCATATCCAATTTTAAGCTATTAACTTGATGTCACTGAACACAGGGTTGAGAAGAAATGCTCACAATTGTCTCTCCCTCCCAAGCTGTTATGTGTTGCCTCTAACACACCACAGGTTAGAGAAGAAAAAAGGTCAGGAAGAAACCTAGAAAGGTACTCTGAAACATTTGTGCTCACCTCAAAACTGAAGGAATAGAATTAAAGCTACCAAAATCAAAACTAAACCTTTGAGCAACTTCTCCCTGCAACAGAATGACACAAATATGACTGTGTTTCTGCAGGGTGTCTGACTGGGTGCTGCGCAAAGGTAGATTCGGTCTTGCTTAACACCCATAAGACCACCCCTTACTCTCCCTTGGCGGGGCCTGAAGCAGAACTTCTGTGCTGCTCTGACTCTGACAGAGGGGCAGGCTTTATGCCCGTGACCAGCTTCAGGTCTCATCAGCTCTCTGGCTTTACATCTGGGACCCTTTCACATTGAGGCATCACAAATTACCTTTTGAGAGCACAAATTTGATGTCACTGGAAATTAAAGCTCTCTGTGTGTGAGTGCACAGGTGGAAGGGTACAAGACTAAAAGATCACAGACACATAAATTAGGAAACTGAGAATTTGGGGTTTTGGTTGTTATTGAACGGGCCCCTTGGACAGAAAAAAAAGCAAGACTGTAAAATAAAGGCAAAGAGAGAGTAATAGTAACTGGGATGTGAAAATAGAATATTAGAAGTCTGAAGACTTCTCCTTCTCTCCACAGTTCGTAACACCATGTAATTGATCTTTGCTCTTTATTATTATTATCATTATTATTATTTTACAGGAAGCTGGATATGGGACAGGCTATTGGCACTAAGGGAAATATAGACAACCTGGACTTGTCTAATGTCCAGGTTGACTTCTGCTGCCACTGCATGGCAGGGAGGCATCACTTTTGGCCTCGCAAGTGTCATAGGGAAACAAGATTATCTGGGCTTTATTACTTCACCACTTGCACGTCACCAAAGCTTGACAATGAACATCATCCTCAAAGACACTCACAACAAAATTAATTCACTCCAGACTACACTACACTGCATATTTCACAAAATCTAGGTTGAAATCCAGACTTTAACATTTACCAGATATAGGATGCTCCAACCACTGGTTTTCTTGTAAGTCCTTGTCAATAATGGTAGTATCTCACATAGTTACAAAGTTGTGCATTAAATTTGAATAATTTTGTGCATGGAAGGCATTCAGCAAAGTGTCTAGTACAGTGTTACGTGTCCTCTTGGTGGTAATTATCTTAAGTACTCTAAATCAAAATTTCGTGTAAATTTTGAAATAATTCTTCTTTATTTAAAAAGAAGAAATATAGAACAGCAAGAAAAAACACCCTTTTCTCACTGTTTATGCACACATGCTGAAACATAAAATTTTTCCCCTTACAAAGAAACATTCATATATTGTTAAAATTCTTTCAATTAGCAGTTTTACTTTTTAAATTTATTACATGAAATTATTAACACAAGTTCAAAAAATATGTACACAAGGATGTCACAGTTGTTTACAATAGTGAAAATTGGATCTACTCAGATGTCCACCAACAGGAGCTGGTTAAATAAATAAAAGCCCATCAATGCCATAGACTGTATAAAAGCACTTAAAATGAATAGACCAGCTATAGGTAAACAGAGTCCTTCACATGAAAAGATTTCTCAGTGAAAATGCCAGGTTTAGAAAAGTATATATAGTATGGTTACCATTCTGTTTACAACATTATACACAAAGACATATACATATATATGTACTGAATATACATATATATGGGTATATATGTAATGTAATGTATATATGTAATGTGTGTGTATATATATTCAGTACACACACATATATATGTACTGAAAATACATGCACCTTTGGTGATATGATTATGAGATGGGAAACAAAGGGTGAGATTACTGTATAGGGAAAAATATATATCCTAATTTCTTTATATATGAAAATTTTTTACAAGAGCTTAAAGAAAAGTATTTTAAAGAAAACGGTTTTTTCTTGGCAAAGAGATAATTAGTTACTTTGAAACAGATAATGAAAATGTAATTTTCTAGTATACTTAATCATATGCTGTCAAATATTATCTGCATTATTTAGATTGCACCTTAATGCAGTTTGCAGATATCTAATTCTCAAAATTTTCATGATTATCCCAGTATTCCTGACTGCATTCAGGCAATGAAAGTCTGGCTGAAGAGCTATTTAATAATAATGAATACAGCTTAAATGTACTGGATGCATCAATGTGCTGGGCACTGCGCTGAGGACAACCTTATAAGGTAAATACTAATTTTATCATCTCCATTTCATAGGATCTTAGAAGAGGTTAGTAACTTGCCTACATTCACAAAGTACTCACAATGTGATTCAAAATCCTAGATTTGTCTGATGCTGCAACCATGCTCTTAACCATTATAAATCACTGTCTTCTCAATTCCTGCATGTGGCATATCGAAGCACTATATATTACATTACTTTTAAATTCCCATCCATTGTATTTATGATTTATAATGTACACACAATCAAATGTACAGATTTTAAGTATGCAGCTTTGACAAGTTTTAACAACTGTGTGCATTTATGTAACCATGATGCTAATAAAGATACACAACCTTTCCATCAACCCAAAAAGCTACCTTGTGCCCTTTCCATTCAGTTTCCCCTCCCCTCACCCAGAGGGAGTTCCTGTTCTGACTTTGACCACCAGAACTGTTTTATCTGCTATATAACTTCAAATTTTATATACAGATAGAGAGACTGCCTTCTTTCACATCACATATTAAATATTTCTGAGATTCATCTGTGTTGTATCTATTTAGACTTCATTCCTTTTTATTTCTAATACTCCATTGTTGACTATGCCGTAATTTCTTTATCCATTCATCTGTGAATAGACATTAGATTTCTAGTTTTTAGCTATTATAAATCAATCTGCATACTTGTATAAACCATCTTGTAGCTATATGTTTTCATTTCCATTGGACAAATATCATTGAGTGAAATTACTAGGTAAGTATATATTTATTTTATAAAGAACATAACAGTTTTCCCAAGTGATTACCATGTTACACATAACCCCAGCAATGTGGCAGAGTTCAAATTTTGGCAATCCCTTGGTGTTGTCGGCCTTTTTAATGCTGGTAATTCTAATGACTATAAAGGAGTATTCAATGCACATTTCCCTGATAATTAATGAGGTTAGATATCTTGCCAAATGTATATTGGCCATTCATAGATCTTATTTTTGGAAGTGTCTGCTCATGTCTTTTGCTAATTTTTGTTGTCTTTTCATTACTGAGTTTTGATAAATCTGTTATTAATTCCATTCCAATTTTTAAAATTTCAAATATTTCATTTTTTTTTCTTAAAATTTCCATTTGGTTCTTCTTCTCACTGTTTTCCTATGACTCCTGAAATTTCCCATCTCCCCACCCATTCTATTTATCTAGTCACGTAAATTCCTTAACAGATTTGACATAGTTATTTTAATGTCCCTATGTGCCAATTCCATTATCTAGGTCAGCTATGGATCTGTTTGTATTGACTCATTTTTCATTTGACTCTGGGATACATTTTCTTATTTCTTTGCATGTCTAGTAAATTACTGACGGCATATTGAAACTTGTGTATAATATATGGTAGAGGCTTTAGATTCTATTATCTTCTATTATCTTAGAAGATTCTATTGTCTTAGAAGTTTGTTCTAGCGGGCAGGTAAAATACTGTCAGGTAATATGGAAGCTTTGTTAAGGTGGGTCTATTTCAGTTTTTCCTTTAGTTCTACGATAAATCCCTTAGTCCCAGGATGTAGTCTTTACTCCTATCACATGGCCCTTCTGGAGTTTCAATGGAAAACCCAAGATGTTAGCCAAGCCCCCTCTAACTTGGGGAGAACTAAAATTCCAAATTCTGTAGACACACAGTTAAGAAGCTGCTGAATGATTTGTTCAGTTATTTACACCTTCTAGCTTTCATTTTCTTCCTAGGCTTCTTAGACTCTTTCTCTGCATATGTATAGACTCAACCAAGGATTAAAGAGGGATTTATTTGTAGATTTTGGGCTCCTTCATCTGTGACTCTCTCCTTTCTGGCATCTCCTCCTCAATTCCTATTCTGACAATCCTGAATTCAGTCCTGTGGTTTCCCATGTCAATAAACTATTGCTTTCTATTTCAGCCCTCTCAGCCATTTACCACATGAGTTAAGGAGGACCCTCAGGGTCCAAGTCACATGATCTCTTAAATGTAGAACTCACTCAGTGTGGTTTCCTTATTTCACAAATAGAATCCCTTTTAGCTTCAGCCTACTTTTAGTTACCTGCTAGTGCCAATAAACAATTTCTGTTTTTTAATATTTTGCCAAGAATTTAGAATTATTATTGGTACAAAGGTCATCTGATACATGTTAGTCTGTCATTATAGAACAGTGGAACTATATACCACATTTTCAATTAGTTAAAACATGATCTCCTATTATTTCAGAGCTATATTTGTGGCCCTTGAAAAGAAAAAGTGTGTGGGAGAAAAGGGCAATGATAATATTAATTGTATCAATTCTATGCTCAAAAGTATGTCTTTGAAAGGCAAAAAGGTAATATCCCTATACGTACAAACTCAATATAAGAGTTTAAAATTCTCTAATATATTGTCAATTCTGTTGCTAGACTTATATT